TGTAATTGTTATCATGCACCATACCGCACATGATTGGACTCCAAAAGCCAAAATTAAAACTCACGGATCTGTTTCTCTCTACCTTTCCCTCACATTTCTCTCAACCTCTCCTTCTTTTCCTAACCCTAGCCGCACACAACACAACACTCACTACTCTCATCTCATCTCATCATTCCTCTCCATCTTCATCACCTTTGGCAGACAATGTCATCACCTTTGGCCTCTTCATCATCTCCCCAGTGTAACCCCTCTCTCTCTCTCTCTCTCTCTCTCTCTCTGTATACCTGATGGTTTTATAAATATGGGTCTTTATTTCGTCTTTTTTCTAGTGGGTTCTACAATGGTGATGATGATGATGTGTGGGTCTTCATTTCGTCTTTTCTCTCTCTTTGTAAATTAATGGGTCTTCAATTAGATTGGGAGAGGGATACGTGGGTTCTGCGATGATGATGATGATGTGTGGGTGCAATTAGGTGGGGTAGGTGGGGTTTGCAGGAAGTTAAAAGAGAATATGGGTATTTGATTGATATATTATATATTCTATTTTAATTCTTTTAGAAGACAACTATTTTTAACGGATTATTCCTTTTTTTTTCTTAATGTCTTTACATTTTGATGTTTTGATATTTTAATGAAAAATCTGTGATTGTGTTTTTTATATAGGTGTTGCTTCTAATAATTCATTAGCTATGGATGAATCTGCAGAAGAGGTTCAAGGCTCTCAAGCTCAGGCAGGTACTTCCATTTAAAAAACCATGTCTTTCATTAGTCTTTTAAATATTATATTAGCATATCTGTAAGTAAAGTAAGATGTTTTCTATGGCAGCAGGGATTGAAAGCTCTCAATCTCAGACTGGTGGTGATAATGATCTTCCACCTTTACCTCCCTTGAAAAAGAGAAAACCAACTAGGAAGCCAAGTGAAGTGTGGAATCACTTCGAAAAATTTGACACTGGTAATTCTTCTGAACCAATTAGAGTTAGATGCAAATATTGTAAAACTGCTGATTACAAGTATGATCCGGCAAAT